AAATGTGTTGTGGTTGGGTTTTTTTTTTAAACAAGCTTTGATCTTGTAGTCCTGACAGAAAGAGGGAAATATTTAAAAAAACTACTTCTACTTCAGTGACTAAACTGTGTAATTCAACACCAAAGCTCAGTACACATTTTGAATAACTTTAAACATCAGAGCACCTGTTCCAAACAGTTGTTGGTATCTGTCCCTGGGACGCTCCTCATCTGAATTCATCTCTGCTCACTGCACAGACAACAACAGGAGAAGATTCTGTGTGTTTCTATTTTTGAGCAAAGTTGTATGCAGTTTTTCTTGAAGTACTGACCATGGCAGGTAGAATAAATTCAGTTTTAGAGAATAGCCTCTTTAAGCAATCCTTCGCAGACACTGTATCAACATTATTAAAAAACTGGAAGTGGGAAATACCCTATCAAAGCCAATGACAGAAAAATCTGCCAGGTGATGCACCATAAACAAGGGGAACCCTATTACTCCAGGACTATTTTTGTGACTCTGCCAAGCACTGCCTTTTACCAACTAAATCATGATGTGGCCACTTTTTATCAAAGCCTCTAAGTATTCAATCTAAAGAAGTCAGGTTAGATCATGCGCAGAAGCACAGTGCTAGTGAAAGAAGGTTCTGTTGCAAAGAAAATTAAAGTAGAAATTAACTACTTTGATAAATCAAGGTAAAAGAACCTGAAGCTATTATTCACCTAGAAAGCTGTAACCATTTCAGCAAATCAGAATGGAGACAAACTAAACTGACACAACCTCAGAAGATTAGTTACCACTCTAGTCAAATTCAATTCGGTGTATTTCCTAATTTTACTCAAATGAAAACTGTAACACTTTTCCACCAACTCCTGCAAAGGAAACAGCAATAAAAGGAGTCTGATCAGCACCACAAATAATAAAATTCCCATATAATAAAAGGTTTGGGTTTTTTTTTTCCTTTTTAAACATTAAATTTGAGGAAAAAGTGTACAAAAAAACATTTAAACAGTCTAAACTATCTGCTATCCATTGATCAAAAGCCCTTGCATTTTACTGTACCATTTCACAATTCAATTCCTTTCACCATGCCATATTGACTAAGAAGCTTAATGAAAAATGGAAGTGAACAAATGCCCTCCTACAGACTTAAAGACAAACTCAAACATACATGTTTTGAGAATGAAGGATTTAAACATTACAGTAACATCTATCATACATCAAAAGCTTAAACAGAAACAGAAGATACTAGTTTGTATTGTGCACCATGAAAAAACACCAAGCTCTATTTGTTAAATGCAACAAGAACAGCTCTTCTAAGCTATTTATTAACCACATTTTCTTCACCTCCTTTCAATATCCAAAAGATGGACTAATACGTTCTCCTCTTTGATACTCTACCACAGAAGCAGAGAGAGTGGGCAAGCAGTGCCTTCTTTCATTTGACAGGGGTTTTAAAAGATTTCACCAATCTCCAAATTTTTGCAGAACATACAAATTGATTTTAATATAAATAGCATGCAGTCAACAAAGCAGTCATGGTTTTGCACTTAAGCACTGTACCCAGACCCTAAGTGTGTATCCTGTTTTTAAGTACTGTACATTGTCTTAATGTAAAAGTGTTAGAAAGTTCAACCTTTCCACGTAAAATTCAGGAAAGGGAGGAGGAGGATGATAATCAAGTCACTCTGTGCAGATGTTGTACTAAGTCAATCAGATATTAGGATAAGAATTAATCACATCTCAACAAAAAGCAGCAACTTAAAACCATGCGGAGAGAAGACAGAGTCCAATACAGCTTCTCTTCAATCTGGTTCTGGAACAAACAGAACAGAAACAGACCAACCTGCCTAAAATAAAACACTCACAAAAATGTCATCTAAAGCAACAAAATAGAATATTATTTTTGAGAAACATTTAGATACCAGATGGAAATTTGCTCATTAAGTGGAAATAAATATATATATATAAAAGCCCAAATTAATTACTCGTTAATACTCGGTATTGGAACTAGAGCAATCAATGCTACAGTTAGACCTTTGAAGGAACATCTATAAAAACTTATTTTAAGAGAATAAAATTATAGGTCAACCTCTTTACCTGGGCTGAAAGCCAGTTAGCATTCAAACTTAATAATTGTAAGATTATACTTTACTCATGAGGAGAGATATTCATTTAATTAGAATTAAGGAAAATAAGTTACTCTTTACAAAGATTAAAAGAATGGAGAATAGTTGACACTGATTCTCCAAAGACAGGCTGATAATTGAAACCAAACAAAAACACTTGATGATTTTATTTTTCATCTACTGTTTACAAGACAGTTTTATAATCATTTGTGATGTAAGGTTTAATATCTAAATGTGTATGTGGTAGCAAGATTCTAATTTCAGTACCTTGAAACAATACAGTAAAAATTTGCAGCCATGTTTGCAACCACAGTCAGCTCACCATCATTTCTAAAATTTGGCAGCAATCTGTTTTGTCTAAGCGTAGGGTTAATTCCTGCCTTACTTGGGGCAACTTTCAAAATACACTGATAAATTAATATTTGCTAAGTATCAGTAGTACTTCACAGGGACAATTTAAAAAAAAAAAAAAAAAAAAAAAGGAATCTCAGGCTTCCAATGTTTTAATGATTCCTTTCTGCTGCCAGGTGGAACGTCTGGTGGATTCAGAAGAGCAACAGCTTCCCACAGAACTTAGCACACATGACTAAATGCTTTCGATAGCATAGTGAACCTCTCCTATTTTAAGACTTCACTTTTAACTTTGCATTACAGTTCACTACCATATGACTACAGGCCAAATGTTAGGAATTTGCATTAGGAATGAAAGCATACACGAACTCTTGGAAGCTACCAATGAACTGCTGCAGCAGAAGTGGTATAATATGACATTTTACCTCAAGAAGCAGACTTGTATTTTTACAGTAGAATATTTCACTTGACTGTGAGCCACTTGGACTTATTAAAAAGGGCTAAGAAATTAAGTTCATAAAGTTCACACTACCACTTAGAGAATTCCTGAGCTGAAAGTTTTGGCTCATACCTGTTAGGAAGACAGTTATCTGTTAATAGACAGAATCAATTAACTTTTGGTTTTTTTTGAGCTTACATTTTACAGCAACCGATTTCTTTACTGGGCACATAAAATACCACAATATTTCCTTTGGCTCCAAAAAAATCTAACCAATGATAACACAACTACTCTAACAGTACTCTCAAAGTAGCACTAAGATGTGGGATTTACAAACATGACAAAGTTAAGAGTTGGCAAATTTCAACCCCTCAATTTAAGGAAGAAAGCAGAACGTAGACCTTGTATAAACTACAGAAGGGACTCAAATATAAAACTCTAAATTTCATCCAGTCACACTTTAATAGAAGGAGCACAATCCTCTCGGAGCAAGCTGGGCACGTGTTGTCATCACCTACTGGGTCAGGCTTCTCAAAAGACTTAAGTGAAGGAAACCCTTGTTGCTGGATCTACATAGATCTTGAACGCGTACTAAATGCCTGTCAAGACAGGAGCACTTCCAGACACATGTGAAAGCCCTTTTTCAGAGCTTTAGAAGGCTTTCATTAAAACATATCATCAACTGAACATTAAGTGAAAGAGAGAAAACACAGCAACTGAAGGACAAACATTAACTAGGCTTGGCTTAGACATAGCACTTTTCCTCCCTTAAACCTTATTTATATCATCCATACGCATAATAGTGACATTTAATAGTTTATTCTGCATACAGCATATCAAAATTATTTCTTTACATAAAAGCATATTATTTATATTCCAGCAAAATTTTTTTTTTTTTTTTGGAGAGTCCTGGAAAATTAACCCAGAATCTGGTTGACTCACCAAACAGACAGAACACGTGCTACGAAAGGGTAACTTCCCCCTACACCTTTCTCCCCCATGCTCTTAACTTGACTTGGGCAGACCAATGTCAAAAGCCGTTTGGACTCCACAACTGACCAATCCTCAGATCCCTGAAAAGCCAATTATCTAAATTAGCAACAACTCCTGTCACTATTTTTGAAGCTGGCACATATCCCTAAGACATTAAATACTCATTTCACGTAAGCAGAGTTCATCTACACAACCCCAGAGCCAAGAACAGAAAACATTCATCATTCTTTTCTCTTGCCCTACCACAACAATTTAAGGTTTTTAAAGCTCTCCCTTTCAGGATATTCTCTGCGAAGTCCTACTTCAAGAACCACATACGCAACAGCAGAAGGAGCTCATCGTTTCTGTGGACAGAAGAAGCAACAGAGGCCCAGGGATGGCAATCACTTGTAGCAAGGAGCCAGAGGCAGCAGCTCTGCTCAGGATTTCCTAGAAGCCAAGGGCTCCTGGTTCCTACTGGCCACACTGCCTTGCCAGAGTCTTCTCATTGCTGCTCCATCCCTTTGGACGCCACCTACTTCGGCATCTCCTCCTGGCAGAATCCCCAGCTCCACTTCCACCTGTCAACACTTTTTCCTTCCACCCCACTACCCTACCCAATTTGACAACAGTTGTTTGGTTGCCAAAAGACGTCTATGTTGCACGAGCTTGCGTGAAAACCCAGACGCATCGCAGAACACCAGCAGTTTCTTGGTAAGCGCCAGCCTAGGCTATCACCAAATCCAGTCAAAGTTTTGGCTCAACTGGGTTACCTCTAAGCGTAGACAGTGGTAGGCAAGTTGCAAACAAAGGGGTTTTTCTTCCATCCTGCAAGCTCAAACTTCAACCAGTGCAATATGTCCTGCTCAAGATGGAGATTTGTAATGGTACAGTTGACTGAGCCCCTAAATCTAGAAAAAGCCCGAGGATGAAGGCTCGTGCATCCTTTTAACAAACGAAGCCATCCAGCAAATCACACCGTAAGCGTTGATGGACATGTGGTGAGGCCATCAAAATAAACCATCTACAAACCCTTCCCCTCCACCTCTCAGCAGGTTAATTGCGCAGACACTGGACTTACTAGGATTAAACGGAGATACAGAAATACCTTGTCCCCAGTATCCATTTACCTTGTCCTGAGGGCCTGCCAGGCTGCATCAATGTCTGCGTACAGGTTTTTCTCAGAGGGCTTGCCGGTGCTCACCCCGTAGCCAGAGTAGTCATAAGAGAAGACGTTGCAGTTGATGCGGGAGCCAAGGCCAATATAGAAGCTGCACATCTGGCCGAGGTCCACAGCATTACCATGTGAGAAGAGCAGGGTGTACCGGCCAGTGGGGGCACAACGTACGAACATGCAGCCCAGCCTGTTATCTCGAGCCGTGCGGGAGAAGAACACTTCCACGGCATCCAGTTCCCGCTGCGAATACTGCCAGTCCGCCCGCTCGCTCAAGTGCAGGCTGCAGGTGCCTGATCCCGTCGGGGTCCCTGCCCCGGCTGCCGCCCCGGCCTCCTGCTGCTGCTCGGGCTGCAGCACGGTGTAGGTGGGCTCCGGGGGCAGGAAGGCCAGCTTGGCAGCGATGCGGCTGGGGCAAGGCGGGCAGCAGAACAGCCAGCAGAGCTCGCCCAGAGAGAAACCG